TTCGGGATTCGACGTATTTGGGAGTTAGGGTTTAGGGTCTCGGGATTCAACTTAGTTGGGAATTAGGGTTTAGGGTTTAGGGTTGCGGGTTTCGGGATTCAACTTATTTGGGAGTTAGGGTTTAGGGTTTCGGGATTCGGGACTCAACTTATTTGGGAGTTAGGGTTTAGGGTTGCGGGTTTCGGGATTCGACGTATTTGGGAGTTTGAGCTTTGAGGCTCCAGTGCCTTCATCTTGCCACCTTTTTCTCTTCTCGCTGTGACTTTGCCACAACATGCTCCGGTTTATGCCGCAATTCCCAGTGCAGGGCTTCTCATTCTGCGCAACCCCAATCTGGGTCGCCAGGGACATTGAGGTAGACAAGAGTCGAGTGATGATCCACTTGCTCTTGCGTGGGCAAACCTGAAATTGAAACCTTCGGATACCCTCTCCCGCCCTTGCCTTAGACCCTGAACCCTAACCCTTAAAGGCCCAAGCAAGAGCGAGTGGGAAGCAGGCCACTGAAAATCAGAGTCCGCTCCTCCGAGGCCTCAAAAGGTGGGAAGAAGGTACCCTACCCTACAAAAACAGACTCCTATTTTGGGATTACCCTCAAACCCTAAACCCTGAACCCCCATGCCACCCTTAGAGCCCTTTGAGTTCCGAGGAACGGACCTGGCGGCCATTGAAAAATCAAGGTCTGGCGGCCACCGGCTTGCTACTCTCTTGAACCATCTGTGTATGTTCAACAAGAACCATCATAGAGAGAGAGAGAGTGTGTGCGCGTATGTATGTGTGTATGTATGTATGTATGTATGTATGTATGTATGTATGCATGTATGCATGTATGCATGTATGCATGTATGCATGTATGCATGTATGCATGTATGTATATACATATGCATGCATGGATGGATGAATGTATGTATGTATGTAATGTATGTATGTATGTATGTATGTATGTATGTATGTATGTATGTATGTATGTATGTATGTAGTAGGTATTCATGAACGTCTTCTAGGGTCTGCATTCTCGATGAGTTTGAGGATCACTGCGATAATTCCTATTTGTTTTTCTACCATCGAGCCAATTTTTGGCAGGCCGTTGGCCTTGCTTAAGGGGTATTTGCACGGGGAGTAGGGAGATGTGGCAACAGTCCACAGCGCTACGCTGGGATGCGATCCCAGCTTCGCTCGCAGAGGCGAGGACTTTGCAACTCGGAAGTGAAGCAAGTATTCATGCATGTATGGATGCATTTATGTATGTATGCATGTATGTATGTACGGACGTAAGTCTGTTTACAGGTTCTCGCATGAGCTTATTCATATGTTGTTCGTGCAAGGTGCCATGATGACTCACCGCCAAAGTGTTGCGTGTTGCCAGGGTTGCCCTTGTCGATCTTTGCCGCCTGCTGGAATCTCAGCCGTCAGGGTTCAACGGGCATGCCAGGTTCGAGTGCGACTGTGACGAATGCACGAAGCGGTAAGTCATGCTCAGTTTCCAGGGGATTGTGGAGCATTCAAGGCAATCAAGCTCTCCTTAAACTTCACATCGACTGTGGAGGGCAGGATGACATCCAGATAGGGCTTGTTGTGGCAGAATTGCATCTTCCGGAAGCCGAAAAGTTGCCGGACATTGCTGCTGACCGTGGCCGACAACGCCAAGCTATGTCAGTAGAGATCGAAAGAGCTGCCTGCAACATAACTATTGTCGTTCCTTCATACTAGCGGGTGTGGAAGTGTCGCTGCGTGGTGAGTCCTAACTATGGCCAGGGGAGGACGACTTCCAGAGCCGGTCGAACCTGGCTACGACTGATCAACGATTGCCAAACAATCGACATGCCAATCACGCAACAGAAGCCTGGCTGGGAACCAGTCGGAGGATGAATTACGAAGCACGATCGCATGCAGAGCTTGGGCAAAGAAGAACACCTGTCGTTGACTGATAGTCTATGTTTACCCCAGATATTGATAATCGGCTGATGGTCAAGCGTAATCTCCGCTGAAGCGGTGCACAATGATTCTTGGTAAGACTATTGCACCCAACCAGATGATGGTGCAACACTTGCCCACCAAGAGCAAGCACGTCGAACATCGAGCGGTTTGGCCAAGGATGAACGTCGTTCGAAGTTATCCATGTAGCTGAAGCTTCTTTTGATGGACAGTTGACGTGTGACCCATGAAACAGAGGCCAGGCCGGTACAGTGTGTGAACAGCAGTGCTGACAGCGAAGTTGAGACAGCATGACATCTTGCAGAGTTGCAAAGACGAGCATGGGTCCTTGGACGAACGTGTTTGCAGGCTGTATAGCGCGCACCATGGGCAAGACGGTCCAACAGCTTGCTGCACAGGGCTTACACGTCGCGCGGTTTGGCCAAGGATGAACGTCGTTCGAAGTTATCCATGTAGCTGAATCTTCTTTTGATGGACACTTGACGTGTGACCCATGAAACAGAGGCCAGGCCGATACAGTGCGCGAACAGCAGCGTTTACAGCAAAGTTGAGACAGCATGACATCTTGCAGAGTTGCAAAGACGACCATGGGTCCTTGGACGAATGTGTTTGCAGGCTGTATAGTGCGCACTATGGGCAAGACGGTCCACCAGCTTGCTGCACAGGGCTTGCACGTCGCGCGGTTTGGCCAAGGATGAACGTCGTTCGAAGTTATCCATGTAGCTGACACCACTCTTGATGGACACTTGACGTGTGACCTATGAAACAGAGGCCAGGCCCGTACAGTGTGTGAACAGCAGTGCTGACAGCGAAGTTGAGACAGCATGACAACATGCAGAGTTGCAAAGACGACCATGGGTCCTTGGATGCATGTGGTTTGTTGTCCATGTGTTTGATAGAAGGCTGATGGACCCAACGTGAGTGCTCTATGAAGTAGTGCACCGAAATTGCAGGCTGCAGAATACGCGCCATACTTGCTGGACTTACACAAATGCTGCAGGACGGTGCAACATCTTGCTGCACAAGGCCTACACATCGGGCGGTTTGGCCAAGGATGAACATCGATCGAAGTTATCCATGTAGCTGAAGCTACTTTTGATTGACGCTTGACGTGTGACCCATGAAACAGAGGCCGGGCAGGCATAGTGTGTGAACAGCCTTGTTGACCGCAAAGTTGAGACAGCATGACGACAAGTGCCCGATGAAGCTGTGAACCATATCGCAGGCTTTAGAGTATGCAGCATGGTGATGTCGCTGTCGCTGATGCTGCACGACGGTCGAGCAGCTTGCAGTACAGGGCACACACATCGGCGGTTTGGCCACGGATTAATGCTCGAAGTTATCCATGCAGCTGAAGACACTTGACGCGTGACCCATGAAACAGAGACTATCTTGCGCAAGGTCATGCGCATGTCATGGACATGTGCAAACATGTGTTTGCTGGACAAGCAGATGCCCAACTTTCCGTTCCGCCTACGAAGCCTAGAAGTGCTGTCATGTGGACTTTGGTTTCGGTACTTCGGGCACCCGTGAAGGAATGAAGTGTAGCTGAAAACACACCGCATTTCACCCTTACACGGTGTGGGCGTTTGGTTGGCGTGTTAAAGCTGAGAAGGAAGGTCGCCGGGCGCAGTTTAATGGCACGCTGCTTTCAGCCCAAAGCGCCGCGGGCGCTGAGGCTACGATGTCTACTCCGAGAAGAAACGTCGCGACGCAAGGCGAGCTGAGCGCAAGGCTGAAGCTGGCAAGACAGACTGAGAGCAGGAGAGCAACGCAGCCTGCTGAAGGAGTGTGAAAGCGGCTGAGTGCACTCATCAAGTTTCGTTATCGATGACGGTCGCTAATGCCTCCGAGAGCGGAGAACAAGCAAATACGCGTTGCCTGGCGCAACTCGGTGTCGTGCTCCAGCTGAGACAGTTAGAGTTAGGGGGCTTTCTGCAACACGAGAAGTGCGAAGGAGAGCCAAACGCAGCTCTCAAGTCCCTCAGGTTGGTCATCTCATGAACACTCTAACGTGTGGAGCCCATGATGTACTGTGCCTCTGGCAGAGCAATACCCGAATGGCAAGAGCAGAAGACGAGATTTCTAGAGCGTTCCATAGCGTTCCATTCACATGTTTGGCGATGACGAACGAGCAGCTCTCAAGCTTCGAGGAGCTCAAGCCGGGATCACATCTGGTGTCTTCCACTCGCAGGGATTCCGTGGCTCTGCCTCTTTGACAGGAGCTGAAAACCACTGTGGTGAAGAGGTCAGAGTCGACAGCTTTCTGAGTCAAGTCCTGATCGCAACCCCGGCCAGCTTGGAGACCTCCGGGCTGCTTTCGCAGATCAGGGCGCAGCTGCGTGCAAATGTCTTCAAGGCACCATCAGACTCCAGCCTGCCAGCAGCCTGCACAGAACTACTGCAGCTTTCGTCGCTTGCCAGAGGCAATTGAAAGCTCTCAAGGCGTGAGTGGAACTCAGGCGAAGGAGCTGAGCCAGGGACCGGGCAGTCCAAGCTGCTTTTCTTTAGAAGCGAGCTCAGCGAGCCCACAGAATTTCAGGTGACAGAAGCCCCTTTACGTTGCTCTCAATGGAGCTCGTGGCTGAGTTTTTCCAGGCTGGCAATCCTGCTTATAGTGCAACTGCCGCCTCCCCTACTTGTACACTTATGCCTCATGGGCCTCATGACTGCTGCCTCATGGAGTGTGGGTCAGCGCATAGTTGCGTGAGCCCGCCAGTTTCATGGCCTTCATCACTCCCTGTCTGTCTTCCTGTGTGAGGCAGGGTTTCAGGCATAGATCATGGCACCTGTGCTGTCGTCCCAATCCTGCAATTCTGGCCCTTGCAGGCACAGCTAACAACGTCGTGTACAGAAGCCCCGACGTCTCTTCGGAGGCCTAGAGCCTTCGGAGTTCCGTTCCGGCGTCAGGCGTAAGACACGGTAAGCCTGCGAGGCGCAGTGAGCTGATTGCGGAGATGGACCTGGAGCCCTTCCCTCAGAGTTCTTCAGCACGATCTCATGCAGCTGAGCTTGCGCCAGGCATTCGGAAGCTGAAAACTGCTCCGTGCTCGAGCACCTGGTGGAAGCCCGAAGGCACCTTGAGCATGAATAGAAGGTTCATGTTCTACCAGAGGATTCGTTTGCAGTTAGGAGTCGTTTTGATATAAGATCTTCCCAGAATCGGACATCACAATACTTTGAGAAAAACTGTGATTGCTGCGACGGCTTCATGCTGAAGCCAACACTCATTAAGGGCCTTTGGCTTGAGATGATGTCAAGGATCTCAAGGAGGAATAATATGATTTCATCACTGCGACACGGCCCGCCGCGGGATCGAAGCAAGTGAATTCACGAACGAGACAGCAACAGGCAACACCCCTCTCAGGAAGTGCTGCCGGGGGAGGAGCATTCACGGAGCCGGCCGTCCGCTGCACCCAGCCGTGCGAAGTGATTTAGAGCAGCAAGCCTAACAAAAGCGGTACAGAAGGCATGCAAACGAACACCTCCCAGCGACCCCATCAGCCCTATTCCGCCCTATCCCGTCGACTGCAGAATCGTGATCCCGGATACAGGGGCCGCGCGTGCGGACGCGACCGGATTCATGCAGTGGTCACCCACACCAGCAGTCACGCTGCATTTTGCGGGCGTCTGCTTGGTCACGCGCTAGGAGGATGCGGGCCCTCTCGACCTGAAGCAGTTCTACATGCTCTCTGCTCGATGGCTGTGCTTGCAACCCTCCGGCCTTCCACCCCATCGGCCGCTCGGGCGAAGCCCTGCGAGCTGGAAGAGAGCATCTACTGACTGCTCATCGGCTCCACTTTCAACCAGCTGGACATACATGCGTGCTTTCCCAGCATGTGCAGAAAACGGTGGAACACTCTGCTACGGACCTTTCCTGTAGAGTTTCCAATGCCTGACCTCCTCGCTGAGCGCATGCTTGCGGAGCCGTCCGAACTGACAAAGATTTGCGAACTGCTGAAATCCAGTGGAACATGCGGCTCAGATGCTCGTGGCTACCCCCAAGAGGTCACCGCTTTGTCGATCCTACCGGCCCTTGGGCCCTTAGTCTTCCAGCGTCGGGCCAAGGTCCACGGTCCGACGGCGGCAGCTCTTGCCTTTCGTTGCCCGACAGTGGCGTGCGCTTCTGTTGTGCCGTCAGAAAGTTCGGTCCAGGTGGCCAACGGTTCGGTCCAAGTTACCGAAGCTTTGTAAAATCTTGTTGGACCAGACACATGCGTCGAGACGAGCGTCCGGGAGTCCAGAGAAAGTCAATTATTGTTTGGCAGAAGGGACTCTGCATGCTGGATGCAAAGGCAGTGCACAGCATCATGACACCTTCAAGCACGGCCAAGCCAACTGCCGCCGTGCAACGACAGGGTGTGTCCACATTCCATCTCATGTCGGGGCAAGGGTTGTAAAGATGATGCACTAAGGCGCTCGCACGCGACCCAACTGTGCTCCACGACGCACTTTCGGGTCGCCGCTAGGTCGCCAAGACGGGTGCCAGCTATTGTACTCCCGAGCACAAACCCTTTTGGTCAAGTGCCCGTGCCCTCGCGGGCGGGCAGCGCTGGAGCTCCAGAAATTCCATACTCCCACTGACTTGATGGCTTCATGAACAACGTGCAGCCGTAGAATCCGTAGATAGCCACAGTGTACAGTATTCTCTCCAAGTGGAATGGCTGAACTTCATGCTCCTTTGGGTCTCAGTGCCGGGGGAATTCTGGTGAACCACGCCATGTTTAGTTTTCATGTTTCTAGCTTTTGTTGTCATGCCGCTGCAAAACAAGAACCAATCCGACATGTCGCTACTGCACACCCGACTGAACCCCACCCGTCCGAGCTCCGTCCGAATCCTTCTTTAGAGGGCAAAGACAACGTGGGTGCCCATCCCCTTGAAGGGATGCCTCTCCCCTTCTTTTCTCATCATAGTTTCATGGCACATCGCAAGTAGCAAATCAGGGCCATGCCACCATGTTTTATCAATCTGATCACTCCGCTGCCATCTGGGTCTCTGCAGGGTGGATGTGCCACATCGATCCGTTTCGGAACCAGAGAAGGAAGAGCCGAAGGTTCAGGCTCTCCTTGGCCGTCCGTTGGCTTTCTCGGAGCTTTGTCGGAGCGGAGGTCCAAGCTCCGACTCAAAAAGAGCTGGCGCCGCCCAAAAAGCACAGGTAGTTCCCTCAGATACGCGACTGGGGCTTCACACAGCATCCGATGCTCCAGCACACTTGCGGTCAAGTGGACGCCAAGGTCTGAAACTTGGGCAACTCCGGCAAGCCACAGTAGAGAAGGCCTGCAAGCAAGGTAGCAAACAGGTATCAGCTGAAATGTCCGAGTGCCCTGCTTAGCAGTGCCATCAGTGCCGAGCGAAGGCGAGAGAAGAGCAGAGCGGCTGCACCGACGGCTTTCGGACCCTCTCGGCGCCGTCTGGGGCTCGGGCTCGGGCGTGCTGGGGTTATGAGATGCGGATGAGAGCGGATGAGTGCGGCTCTGTCAGGATGCACTTCAAAGCCTGTCTCAGCAGATGGCTCCAGGCAGCACAGGTCAGTCTAGGGTCAGTTGGGCTTCCCTTCAATACTTAATGTGTCTGCGATCCAGGGATAGTGAGTGCAGTAGCCTGTGAGTTTTTACTGCGCCAGAGCTTTCGCGGTTGGATATCCAAAGTGCCCTCAGCCTGCGCTTGTCTGCGTCGAGTGACGATGGCTAGGCTCTTTGACGTCTCCGGTGGGCCTCGCGGCATGGGGTCCAGGGAGAGGACGTGACATAGGCGTCTTCTGCTACAGCTGCACATGACAGCTTACCACCATTGTGGTGTTGATGGCGTTGCTGTTGGAGGCATGCTGACAACCAGCCCATTGGGACAGAGACAGCGGCTGCCGCCCCTGAGCGGCTCCAACCTGAGGGGCGGCATAGCAACTGAGACTTCCCGAAGCTATCTCCGAACAATGCTGGTTCGGTGTCGAAGGCGAGAGTGCGCCGTCCATGGCGCCACCTGCGCGCCTGACCGCGGTGCCGGACCCTCAGATTCTCAGAATTGCCGAAGTCTTGCACGGATACTGCTGCCGTACATACAGTATGCATTGGAGGGACGACGTTGACGACAACTTCGTCAGAAGTTCAAGATGTTAATGCAGTCCAGAATAGGGTTCGGGCAACTAAATTTACACCAAGCCCGTCACACTAAGCAGGGGTTCAAACTCGAGAAGTATCGAGAGGGCTCGGCCCAAGCGCGAAGAAGGTCTGTGCATATCTTGTGGGACACAGCGGCTTTTGGAAGTTTCGAAAGCTCTAACAGGTTGGCTCCTTCGAGTCCCAACCTGTCGCCGGCAAACTCCTCCGTCGGTACCGTCAAGGAGGAAGCGATTTGCAGATTTTGGCAGAAGGCTTTCTCGAAACCTGAAAAAGCAGGGGGCATCGCTGGAGCCGTCGGATGCTTCCGCTTCCGGGGCCATGCCCTCGGTGACGCCCCGGTTCCTGATGTTCGGCTCTGGTGCCCATTGTCAATCTTCCCCGGGCCGCAGGTCTCCACAGTGCTGCCCCACGCGTCGCCCGCGACATCACCAGGTGATAGTGCTGGGACGCTTTCGTCGCAACAGTACGACTATCTGGACGGCGTGTCTGCGTGATATTGCGTGATGCCACTGTTCAAGAGCCTTCTACAGTGTTACAGGGTTCAACAGAGGCCACCTCACGAGATGTTTCCTGTGTTAGTTCTTCAAGAACTTGGTCGCAATAATTGCCACAAGGTGGGCTTCCCTTGTAGTTGGGACTTA